TAACAGAAGTAATCGCTCTACACCGCCTCCGATGGCTGGGTCACGTATTGCGTATGCCTGCCCATCGACTTCCTTTCCGTGCTCTCTTTGCACGTGCCGGGCAAGGCTGGAAGAAGCGGCGCGGCGGTCAGACCATGACATGGGCTAGAGGCATGAAGGAGCTGGCTTCAGTTGGTGCACCCCGCCTTCTAGGTTGGGGCCCAAGAGATGAGGACTGTCGTTGGTTAGAGACGCTAAGAGATATGGTCTAGAATAGTCAGTGGCGCGAATGCTGTAAGGTCTGCCTGTCGAAGTCCCGTGCCCCACAAAAGAAACGATAAACTAACAAAAAAATATCAAAAGATGTATGGTGAAACACACAAAAATTGTTATTCCATTTATTCGTAATTCTCCATTTCAACAGTTCCGTCTTTTTTCTATGTTCTGTATCCCAATCCCCTCCAACTATTGTTGTTGCTATTTGGCTGTGGCGTTTGCACCTTACTTGTCTTCAAAGCGGTATATATATATATATATACGAAAATGTCTCAATACTTGATTCCCAAATAATCCCACCTTCTTTGCATCACCCAGTGCAGCAAATTTCGCTCTCAGTGTATCCCATCACGAACCACGATTCGAAAGTAACTCTCGAGTCTGATTGTTGATGAAACTCGGTCATACTGACCAAATCTCTGGCGGATCGGTTACCGGTATTCCTATGATTGCATTTGATAAAGATAGTTCTCGTCGCTAAATTGTTATAACTGTTCTGATCCATCTTGGTGCTGGATTCCCAAATTACCGTCTTCCGATAGCGTTTCTCGTCCGCCGGTGGTGAAATAGAACACAGTTGGGAGTGTATAGCAATTTATTTGTTGTACAAAAAGCGTTCTGACTTATAGGAAAGAGAGAAGATATGGGAATGCATATGCAAAGCGATTGATTGACTGATCGTGTCTGTAGTTTTGCTTGCCTGTTGGTTCCGACCAATGAACTGAGTTCGTCATCCTTGCTCTTATTGGTTATTTCAGAACAGAACAGTTTTCAGAGGTTATGTATACAAATATATGTGGTGGTGATTTCATATACACACGTATATGACTTGACCAAATTTCCCTTAAAGCACACGATCGGTTTTGCGGTACTTGCCGTGTTTGTTGCGGTTGGTGGCATCTAACCTACCTTTAGACCATTGAATCATATCATTGGTTCATAAATGGACTATTTTCGAAAAGGTTGTCCAAAAAAATTTACCGGGCATTGCAAATGAGGTATCTGTGCTGTAGTTGTTGCTTTATTTCTGTTCCTCGTTGTCTCCTTTTTTCACAAAAGTATTTCGCCGCCAATATCTCGTTTCAACTCGATGGAGGAACAGATCATCCGGTGCAATCGAATTGAAGTCCGTGAAGCTGAACCGGTCGATATGGCCCCGGTTCCGCCAAGCACGCCATGTCGCCGGAGTCAGGTAATTGTCTGGATTGTTTTTTACTGAATCTGTTTCACGGGTTAGTGTTCAAACCAAGTCACAAGTTACGAATTGCTTCATTCATTTGAATGGATGGATTTTCAGCTCGGTAAACACCAGTGTCATTCATCAGCGCCTACAATCACGGATAAAAAGTAAAATACAGTCGTAAATGTAAGATAGGAAGGTAGCGTAAAAATGTGAAAATGGATATCATTTAAACAGGAAATGTAGAAAATACGGGATAACAGACAATCGGTAGGCAGTGGTCGCGTACACACAAGTTTATAATGACGCCTGGTTAGGCAAACGGTTTCACATCGTATGAGTTCTGTGTAATGGGTGAGAGAGATGTCTGATAAAGTATTGTTGCGAACAGGTTTTGCTAGAGGTAGAAGGTTTTTCTGCAATAAAGTTGCGCAACTGTAAGTGAGAAATACCGTATGTGCGTCAAATGATTTTAACAAACCAACGTACAATTTCCAAGCGGTTTAAAGCGTGTTGAACTGCCTGTGCATTGTCACACATGTCATCCGTATATTCCGAGTCAAGTACTCTTCTTTGGGAGAAGTTCTACCCCACCGCTTGCTAGACCGGACAAAGCATTCTGTAGAACATCCTCTATGACGAAGTTGAAAAGGAGTAGGGATATAGGGCAACCTTGTCGAACTCCGTTGGAGACGGCAAAAGCTGCCCATAGGCCCTAACCCGACTTGAGGTATAGCTATACAATTCTTTGAGGATCGATACGTACTTCTCTGTTACTCCATCTCTCAACGAACAGTTTCATAGTGCAGTCCTATCGGTAGAATCGAAAGCCGCGCAGATGTCTAAGTACACAGTGTGCGGACAAACATGGTGCCAACGCCACAATGGTAATATTAATAACGGAGGGTGCGGGGAATTGGGATACAGAACAGAGTAAAAAGAATGCGAAGCTGTTAAAAGAGAAGATTCTAGAGGCCTTAGCAGTTGTCGGAGGGTGAAGATCTGATAGATGCATTCACGGCCAACGCGAAACCTAGCCCGCTCCTAACGCATAGTGTACAATCGGTGGAGAATGACGGACGCCAACAGCTTTGACGCTATTGGGATCAGGCTTGTACCCCTATGGTTGGCGCAGTCACTGCGCGGGCAATCTCTAAAGGTGGGGACGACGATCGAGGAGGAGAACTGCTTAGTGTGCCATACATTAGAAAGCAGAGCCATGAATTCTGTAAAAAGCCTTACTCCACCATCCTTTAATAGAGCTGTGGAAGGCCATCAGAGCCCGACGCGTTTACCGTCCTATGGCTTGGATTTCCACCTCAGACGGTGGTTCTGTTAAGGTAGACCATGGGACGTGTGCCGGAGTAACTATGTGAGAAGCTAATGCTGGTGGTCGGCCAAATTGTGCCTCGCTGTTGTTTCGGAATGGGCGAGCCGTCAGCCTTGTAGATTGTTTCGCTCAAATCCAAAGCTTTCCTAACGGTAACCGGGTGATATAGAAAAGCTTACGGGAGTTTCCCATGTCGGCAGCGCGTTCCATCTCTGATGCGCGTTGAGTCCACCAGTTTTGCGTTGATGTTACGTTTCGTTGCGAGTTGTGTTTCGTTATCCTCGCTATTGATCGGTGTGCGTCGAGGTGTGGAGACTCCGCAGAAATCCGTTAGAACGTCTGGAGTTCTTACCGAGGAGGAATAAGCGGTGGTCCGAGCATAGGGCAACAGCCTTCCTTCGTTTCCCGGACGACGACAGTCTATACCGGAAGAACCTCCCAGTTTGGCTTCACTGGAAGTCAACTGGCCTAATCCAACAGACATATATCCTGCTGAAATCACAATACCAGTTCGGTTAGCTTTACGCAAGAGGTCGTGTAATTTTTCGTGATATGCATCTTTGACTGCATCTGCATCGTCTTTTAAGGCGATTAATTTGCATGAACCGCTGAGTCTCACTGCGTACAAGCTGCTGTCGACGGGGATTCGATCTAGGAGCGCGGCTTCAGCAAGGTTGGAAGCCGCAGCCTCAGAATCCCTAGAGGGGGCATACGTGAAACTTCGCAGATGGGTTTGATGGGGATGTCAATCGGATGATGAAGATGGAGTTTCGATTGCGACCCTCTCGGATGCAACACACCAGTGGCTAGGGTCTAGAGCGTACGAGCTAAATACTCCTACTATCGTTTACGCATCACAGCACGCACATTACATGTGGCTCGTTTGAATGGGTTCGCTCATTCGCGTCTATGACGCACACTCGATCAACGATCACGGACATAATGTTCCAGAGTGGGTCGAGGGGGATGAATAGCCCACCTAACCCCACCCCACGAAAATTTCATCTTCGCTCAGTAACTCACTCAAAAAGTACCGTTTTTGTTTTCGGAGAAGTGAGTTCACTCGGATTGGGTGAGGTTTAGACAGACCCGGTCGAAACACCAATCATCTTGTGGGGTTCTTATTTGGAATGCGATATGTTGGATTCACTTTAAGTGACAGTGGATTCACTCGAAGTTATAACGGATTCCATTAAATTGGAAAAGGTATTGTGTGATGCGAAAATGACACTGTTCACTGATTGGATAACCCTTGTGAAGAAGACATCGATGCCGACCATCGAAGTCTGTCTCAGTTGACTTCAAAATTTGCGATCGCCTATCCATCAGAACGTGTTGGGAATGCTGAATCCGCTGATTGTGACTCAGAACTCCATGGCCGAATCATTTGATATTTCTAGAAAAACTGTTTGCAGTGTGATATCCCATCTACCCATTGTCGGATAATTTGTGAACGCTGGAGCATCTCGGGAAGGATTCCACCTGAAAACCAATGAAAAGGTTTTGTTTACTGCTATGACGGAAAAGCGCGACGAGTTCCCTGTGATGGAGAGCATCATTTGTGTGAAGGCAATTCAGGTAGCACAAAGAATGCATCATTATGACTTCAAGGCTTCCAAAAGTTGGTTTCGCTCTTGGTCAGACAGATGTGTTACTCAATTCTACAAAGTAGGAAACAAGCAACTACTCATGTGCATCACTTTATAGGTTTAAGTGGAAAGTTTGGTGGTACCACGGGAAGCAGTGAACTAGTTTCGAACGGGGTTACCGCAGTTGGTCCATTGATACGCTGTCTGATATTTTCAACGCAGATAAAACAGCCTTGTATTACATGCAGCTCCCAGAAAGAACATTAGGTCTCAAAGGAAAAAGCAGTTTCTGGATCCAAGAAATTACGTTACTGCTTTGTGGGAGCATGATTAGAGCAAAGTTATCACTGTTGATTATTGGAAAATTTGTAACTCCACGATATCTCCGAGGTATAGATCGAAAAAGTCTTCCCTGCAATCATAATTCTTCAAAGAACCCATGGATGACTTCTCCGTTATTTCACAGTTAGCTTTCCGATGTCAACCGTAAGATGGTTTCTCAAAGACGCTTTATTTTACTATTTATAGATAACGCCCCTTGTCACTGTTATGCCCAGTGGATCAGGGTATGATTTGATCTTTCAAATTTTTGTTTTGAACCATTTGCAGGAATATGTTTTGTCCTTGATCGAAGATGAGCAACTTAGCATGAAAGCTGAATTGGACATCCTCATGGGCGTGCCGCGGAAAAGCTACCGAAATCAGATGCCTACAATAAAAGGTCAGCTCATCAAGAGCCTATGGAATGGCTGCAAGAAATGGTGGATAAGAAAGTATTTAGAGATAGAGAAGGCTGCATGAGGGTATGCACACCCTAACCAGGACAATTGGTTGCCATTAGGCTCCCTGGACCCCCGAGTTAAACGGGGGTTAGGGACGCTGAGTGATATGGCTGAGTGTCGCAAACAGTGGCGCTCTTTATCTTCCCCTTGAATCCGCTCTCAACATTCCAATAATAATTCTGCTCTTTCGTGCAAATGGGCGGCCAAACGACAACCAAAACCGGCGCACGAAAGTGCATGGTTTATGGTTGTAAAAACTGAACTGAAACTGAACATTGGTCACCAAAGCCACGACCACTTGGTTTTTCGATGTGCTCAATAACGCGCAAACGGGTGAAGGATAATCGCGATTGACTGGTGATCGGGTGTGTGTAGTAAGATGTCAGATTCGAGCGATTGCAAAACGCCGTTGCGCAGACGCGCCTGTGTAAATAAATGAACGATAATCGCACTTGTCCTAGAGCACTGATGAGATTAGCCAGGTCACTGACCAAGGGTCATCGTAAACCATGTCTGCCGCACCCCTGAATGTTTGATCATTTCATCACTTGTGTTTACCAACACTGGTAATAATCGATTTGAGCATACCCTGGCAACAAAAGCGAACGAACGAATAGATCTCTACAGACACTAACGATACACATTTTTCACCAGAAAATCATGCATAGATTGCACAACGAATGGTCGGTTTGGAATGTGAAAAAGAAGTCAATGCATTGAGTATACCCCATGACAGATATTGCACTTATTTTAGATGACCCGATTTCCTTCGAATTTGATTTTTGTCCCGTGTCCTCGCTGTGTTCGACCTGGCTCATTCTTGTTTTCATCGAATGGGCTAATAGTCATGTGGTAATTATTATAGCTGAAACAGTTTTATATCATGATGTACACCACTTGCTCATGTGCTTCGCCTAAAATTGCAAAGGAATGGAGGAATGTTTGGAATGAATATACGGTAATTTAGTTAGAAAAAATTCCTCTGAAGAAAGGTTAAGCAGTTTCGGGGTAATGCGAAACTGAAAAAGGGCTGAATACCGGATGCATTGCACTGATATTAAGCTGAGGGGATCGTAAAAGATCTCAATTTCTTGGATGCATATAGAATACACCAGATGGTATATCTAAATTCCGCTATAAATAAGCAGTATATAATTATGAATATTGGGAACAAAAAACGGAGGGTACTTAGTGGTAGTTTTCATCAATCCGGTTTATTTTGTCTAAAAACTGAACCGATTTTTCATACTACTTAACAGAATCTGCTCCTGACTATCATGTCGCAGTTCCAGGAATTTACTCACCTTTTCAAAATTTCGATGGGTGCGATAAAGCAGGAAACGCCACGTCTCTACATCACTCAACGACCTATATAAGGAAAAGGACACTCGTAAGCGCTCACCCAGTTACTGCATTGAGAATGTCACCTCGATTGGTGATGAAACGTTTGCAATACATATATTTGTATATATATCAAACTTTTGGGGGCTTCCATGAAACATTGGGGGGATTGTGGTGTGCGAAAACTCCCGCGGTGAAATAGTCGGCTTATGAGTCACCCTGATCCGCACACCCACACAGCTATGCATGCTCTGACAGCGCGTGGTACATTCCTGAGCCAAATGGCGACGACTACTTTCAAAGCTAGCATGAACTGCAAATTAGAGTTGAACACTGCCACCGATCAACCCCCTATTCCGGAGGCCTTAGCCTACCTTATTCACGCCTGTCGGCGAAATGACGGCCGCTCACCTATCCGCGACTTGGGGACGCGCTCGGTCGCATGCATGTGTTTTCCCGAGTCAGTTCCTCATTACTAAATACCCGCAGTTTGTCACCGTTTATTGGTGAAACCCAGACGACACATGCGCGCATATTGGAACTGTCATTGCAAGCATTGTTTTCTCCGTTTCCAATTCATACGAACATAAAGCACACGTTGCGAGATGCCGGTATTTTATTTACTCTCTTTGCTAGACGATTTATTGCATGTCACTGACCAATTCACAGAGTGAACACGCACTGTTTTCACTTAGCGTTGATGTTTGCATTGATAGTCATTCTCAAACGATGCGTTCCTAATAACAAACTCAAACCTCTCTGGAACTGTACTATTTCTTAGGTGTACATTGTCAATGTACAATTTTTATGGCTTTGTTTATGTGCGTACCGATTATTATCAGTCTACGCAATACGGCGTTGGAAAAATTGTATTCTCCAAGATTTGAGAAAATTAAATGGTGAGCAAACAATTTTTCAGACATTCCTAGTCATTCTTTTACATATCATATACGTACCATATCGTTTTCCTTAAGATTTCTTGTGTTTACTCTAATGCGCCAAAGTATAGTTGCAATAAACATATTGATATACATTGTTGCGACAACCACCCTTGGAAATTCCTAAATCTAATGCTATTCAAATAATCCTACATAGGAAAGTCATGAGATGTTCAAGGACAATTTCCGGCTGGAGGAATCTAATGGTGGTCCTCCTATTTGCAGCACACCTCGCCTTCCGCCTAAGTTACCGCCACAGATAGCGTCAGTCGTGTCACGTGGTCAACCTGTTTCCAAGTGTTCTCGCGGGGGTTTACATTCACATACTCGGCATTTGCCAAAGCCCAATTCTCCCAAGAAGGTTTCTGTCATCGCAGATCACCTAGATTCGGGCCCGGGTTCAGTTACACAAGCAATCTCGAACCCAATCGGTCTTTTTGAGGGAAAATCCTTGGATCAGCTGAAAACAATTTTCGCCGATTGGATCACCAGTGAACCATGTGAGTAGTTTGGGACTTGCTCAAATGTTTGATGCGTAGTATCGCTTGATGAATGTCTCTCTTTACTGTTTTCCTATGTTTATTGGATTACTCCACGGGAGTTTATTGTTGTGCTAGACTTTGTATTGTAAAAACGAATTGCCTGTCTGTATGGGATTGAGGTACAACCCGTTCCGTGGGTTGCCGGTGATATACGCACTTAGCTCAGTGATCATATTCCTCAAAACCTAGTGTAGCGATTAGACCTTAATGTCATATAACAGGGGGGGGCGGCGGAATACTGTACCATCTGCTGTTCTCTGAATGGAAAAGTAACCTGACGGTAAACTTCCTCCTTTAACAAATGAAGAAGTTCCATCCAAAGTTCTTGGTTCGCCGGATCCTAACACTGAACTTGTTTGGGAATTCCATAGGATAGCCCTTTATGCCATGCGGACTGTAAAATTGGCCTCTATTCCCACATGGGCTCTAAACTCAAAAATCAGGCGATCACTTCTGTTTCGGAAGGTGAGCCACTGTCGTTCGACATTCATTTTTCGGTCAGCATTGTCCGTTGGTAATAGTCTCATCGTAACATCTGAAAAAGCTCAAAATGGGTAAAAAGCTAGTTTTCGATAGCGTCACCTAGCGTACAGTTATATAAATAGCTAATGGGCATATCAAATTTTCACTGATTGGTATTCGGCGGTGGTCGAGTGATAAGGTTATCGAAATGGGTATGTAATTTCTCATGTACTTTTATGTACCTCTCAATTCATCCCGTGTCCCTAACAGATTGTTAACTTTGACTCGGTCCTGTCATGTTTCAGTTTTATTCCCTTCCACCCAATGCCCGTTTTGTTTGTGAACCACGTACAGTACGTTTGTCTATGGAATAGGTTTCGGACGTCGGTCCGTCACTAAATTCTCTTAGGGTTGAAGAACTTATCCGATTGGTTTTACCTTTCATAATTGTTTTTCGGTCTCCGATTGCCCGCGTTCATGAAGGTCCGCTTATCGAGGACATCTGCATCCTGGCCACCTATTTGACCCGTTTGGTCCCCTTCAACCTGGATCGCGTTCGGAGTTGCCTGATAATACTGGACCGATTGATTACTCAGCTAGCCGAACCGGAGATTTCGAGCACGCCTGAATCCCACTGGAGAGATGCGTATTGTCGAATCNCGACTTTCAACTGTTTCGTAGCTTCTGTACTGTCGCTGAAACATGACATCATTTTTGTATGTCGTCTATTCGAGTTAACGATGTGAGATCATGATACTCTTTGTACTCCTTACTGCGTTATTTGTAAATTTGATTGCATATCGTTTTCCTGACGCTTGCTCAAGGAAGTGTGTATAACGTGATTTTTTGCCCACTTATCCTCTACGTTTGCGAAGCTGACCTGGCCAAATGGTGACAAACGATTATTTATTTCCGATAGTTGTTGTCCGTGTAGCATCGATCGCGTACAATGGGGAAATGGTGTGCAAAACACGACGCGTGATAGGGATGGGTAACTTTCATGATCATGACACTTCACTACCGAGTCAGCAGTCAATGAAATCCACGCGGAAGCCTTTACCAGAGTTGGGTTTACACGGGATGGCTAGCTATTTTCCCGCTGTGTTAAACCAGCCTGGGTCGATCGCCGTAAAGATCAGTTCAATTCAGTTCTTACAACCATTAACCATGCACTTTCGTGCGCCGGTTTTGGTTGCCCCTTTGGATAGAATAGCAGAGTGATCATTAGAACGTTGAGAGCAGATTTAAGCGGGTGGAACATTTTCACAGACTGAAATTACAAGAATAATGAATAGATGCATGAGCGCCACTGTTTGCGACACCCAGTTATATCGCTGTGTCTCTAACCACCGGTGGCCATGATCTCTGGGTCCCCAGCCAGGGAGCCTGACGGGACCTATACGAGCCAGGTCAGGGTTCCCATAACCTCATGCCAGATCTTAGCTTGACCGCCTTTCATTTTTTCCAACCTCTACCTACCACACCAAGTGTCGCTCGCCCTGGTAACCTACCTGGTGACATGCGTAGCACATGCCCCAACCAGCGTAATGTATGTAGGTCGACTACCTGTTCCAGTGGATGACCGCGATTATCTAAAACTCTACGCCTAACCTCGGCACTGCTCATCCGGTTTCCCCACCAGACCGGTGCAATGCTACATAGACAGCGGTGTTCGATCACCGACCGTCTTTTTTTATCCTGTTCCCGAAATGGCCAAGTCTCTGCGTCATAAAGCAGAACTGGCCGAACTGCTACAGCATACACTCGACCCTTCACAGACAACCGGATGTCGCGACGACGCCACAGATTTATGAAGTTGGCGAATGCCAACCGGGCTTTCCGTATGCGCGCCGAAAGTTCATCTGTGATGCATCCGCCAGGTGAGATATAACTGCCCCGGTAGTAAAACTTATCTACTTTCTCAACAACTTCCGTGAAATTGGTGAACAAAACGCCCTTGGATCTCTCAGAAAGATTGGCGGTCTTCCATTCCCTTGCAAGGAATGCTCCCACAGTTCAAGTTTCATACCGGGCAACTTGCTGGAGGACAAAACCCAGATATACGCGTGCCTTGTCGGACTAACTAAAATAGATTAGATGAGACCATGCTTATGAACAAGCTCCACTATCCGATTGACGTCCCCGTCAAACCCTTCAGCGAAGTTTCACTTACGCCTCTCTCGGGAAACCTGAGGCTGCGGCTTTCGGTCTCGCTGGCGTCGGCGTGGCTCTCAGTGAGAGAGCTGAAGCCGCNTGCTCTCTTTGCACGTGCCGGGCAAGGCTGGAAGAAGCGGCGCGGCGGTCAGACCATGACATGGGCTAGAGGCATGAAGGAGCTGGCTTCAGTTGGTGCACCCCGCCTTCTAGGTTGGGGCCCAAGAGATGAGGACTGTCGTTGGTTAGAGACGCTAAGAGATATGGTCTAGAATAGTCAGTGGTGCGAATGCTGTAAGGTCTGCCTGTCGAAATCCCGTGCCCATTAAGAAAAACGAAACATCAAACAACAAAAAAATTGCAAAAGGTGTACGGTGAAACACAAAACAAATTCTGTTATCTTGTATTTTCCATGTTTAACTGTCTCACCCACTTTTCACCATGTTCTGTATCCTAATCCACCTATCCCCTTCACTGTCGGTGTTGTTGCGTTGGCACCATGCTTGTTTTCAAGCCGGTGGTAAGTATATATATATGAACAAGAACGCGCCGCGCAAAGCCATAGAGCATAGGCACAAAAGTTTTATCAATCGGAACAATTCCCCATGAAACACTACCCGTTCTGTCTGCACCCCCGAGGTTAGATGCCTTCACAGTATCACTTGGCATTTGCGATCGAGCTTTCCAAAGTTGAACAACGGCATGAATGCCATGTCGCGAAGTTTCAGATGATAGGCTGGTCTTTCGTCCAATAGCCCTTCGGATGTTATTTCGGCACATTGATGAGGCACTAAGCAGCAATGACGGAACTACAGGGACACCGACGTACTGCACAGTACTATATTAAATAGCACTACGCGATCTCCGCCGCTTATCAGCCAATTGACTGCCCTCCGAACGACAAACGGTTGGCAGTTGGTATCCAGAAATGGTAAAGTGCCCTAATCCAGCATCGCCATATCATTTCTAGAGATGATGATATGATTTCGTAAATCTAAATTAGAGCGAGTTCTGTTATTGCAGCTTTGTCGCCCGCTATATAGCGATACTTACTCATGTAATTACTGAATGTCCGTTGAATCAAAGAACTGCACGTTTGAGCTGAATAAGGTTAGATCGACCACTATGGGATAAGAGCGCTTTATTCCGAACGACTGCAAGCTTAGACGCAATCCTGGCAAATCCCAGTTCATTTAAAACGACCTGCTTACGGGCTCAATGACTCACGGACACAACTCCTCTCAGAAACCGTTTAGAAACCCGTCTTCAAAAGTACGGTTACGGCGGTATTTTAGCGTGCGCCTCGTAGTCGACCTGTACTCTGCCTGCAGCTCAGAGACGAACCGTCTCAACGGAGCCTCGTTTTGTTTGAGCAGGGCAGGACAAAATCTAGCTTCATCGAAGGGCCAAGAAACTGCAACCGGCCTGGCTAAACAAAAGAGCCACATCCATAAGGCGCGACATCAGGCAAACCTGGAAACCTCAGGGCGATAGCAGGAACCCGACCCGCGCAAAAAAATTGATACGAGTGCCTAGGACAAAACTAAAAATTGCTGTCGGACCGCTACCTCGAAACACGACACCCACGCTATACCAGAGTTGCCGCGGGCAAACCATATAAAGTAAGGGTCTGAGGACGCAAAGGATGAGTACGACCGGTGGGGTGGGCTACTCAACCTCGCGTAGTGCTATTTCTGTTTTCCAATCAGTTACCCTTTGGGAAGCTTCGGTACAACCGAGGACGTCGCGGACCCCTCTCTGTCAACCTCTCGTATCTCGCAAGATGATCCTGCACTACCGAGCGGTAACAACCTTTACTGTAAGTAAACCCCGCCCGTTGCTCCCAAGTGGTGCTGTTTCTGGTCGAAAGTGAGGGCAAAGAAAGACAGCTGGGTCCGTAGCCACGTCGTTGAATCACTTGAGGTCATCCATCTCAGGGTAACTGACTGAAAGCCTCCATTTTAAACCAGATATCTGACTGCTCCTCTTGTCTTTGAGGTTTATGGGGCGGCTGTTTCCGTTTTAAATACCTAAGATTTGATGAGGTGTGGTTGATAGCTGACAACTATCAACCAGAATTCAGAGCATCGCCAGAATAGATTCTGGCACCCGCCTGACGCATTCAATTACAGTAACGATACCATCCCTGTCTAAACGGCTTTTAACCTAATAATACAAGCATCGTTGATAAAGAAGCTAAACGCATGTCTGGGACTACCAACTCGACAGTACCAGCAAATAGAATCCGCCTGGTTGATTTTTTTCTCAATCAGACCTGAGACATTTGCTGTTTTCAAAATCAGTTTTCGAAAAATGAGTTGAATGCTAACCAACAGCTAGCCCACGCTCACTAAGCATGAGGAAACCTCAACCTGTGCGTTTACTGGCAAGAATGGAGAAAGAAAAACAGAGATTAAAACTCCATTTATTCGGAAAATGAAACACTTCGGATCCCGCCGATATATAGCACATCGGATATGTTCAAAATCCAAGCACACGGTATCCAGGAAGAGACCTCTTGTGTGTTCGAACTCAACACCTGAAGCGCTTGGAACCGTCAGTGGTGCATCAGTTGACCACCTCCACGAAGCTTGAGGAGAAATCTGCAAGCCACGCACAACACAGGGACTTGGAATCTGATGGTCTGTCATACTATAGTGACGAGCTGAAAAACTGCGTAATTGAACGTGCTCAACATTAGCAGTAATCATTCTCACAAATTAAAACAGCGCATCAGTTCGCACGCCGCTCACCAGCCCGAAACAATTTTGACCAGAAAGTTTTTAAATATGTATGTATCGTATTCAAGTTTCACACGGCGCGAATGTTCAAACTTCTGGGAAAACCGGTTAAGCAATAAACTAGCGCAGTATCATGGAATAATGACTGAGAATAACTATCCTGCTGAGGTGACAGAAACCCACAAAAGCAATATGGAAAACTAGGTTTCCTACTCGAATTTCAGTCCTCCAGAGATGAAGTGTATCAAATAAAAACGAAATGACGTTACAAGTAGCCTCATTCGTGGCAGAGATTTATCGACCTATCCTGAGGTTACAAAACACCTTTATCTTTAGAAAAATGCATCCCACTCATTCCATTGAAATGACGTACTTAAAGCAAGCAGTGGACGCTACCTCTGACGTGAGTTGCCTTTCGACCGTGTCCAAGTAAACAGTAAATAATGAGCAT